TAGGATGTTGCAGTCCTTGTATAGTTCTTCAGGATTTGTATTGCAGTGAGATGAGAGATGAGGTCATTTTGCTTATTCTTTGGAGATGCTATTTTAATCCTTTTAAAAAAAACAGCCAAAACTAAGTTGAATTTTGTATTATGCACTTTGTTTTTTTATAACTATGTCTTAAGGAAGGATATTCTCCAGTGATTGCCTCTGAGTTCATTACAAAAGGTCAAGATATTAAAACCCTTTTGGGATCTGTTACTGCCTCACATTGCAAAGTAATTGTTATTGACAGGTGTCAGAGTCGCTGTCAACCTGAGCTCCAAAGTCTTCACAGACTGAATTGGTTCTGAACATCTGAAATTTCATTTTTACTAGCTGTCCATCCAGGCTGGCTGATTTCTGATTGCCAAGGTATTGATGTGATCTGTGGATGGCCCTCTTGTTAGAGATTAAAAACTCTTTGCAAAGCAACAGCTGACCCATGGTTTTATCTCTTGCATGATTATTTCTGGAAGCAGGATATTTTGATGCAGGGTGATTAATTTTTAGCTATTAACATCTTTGATGCTTCCTATTGAATGAACAAATAAAAACCTTTTTAAATACAAAATAATCTTCTGGTTGGTACTATTCCAAAACAGTGGGCTCTTCCTACTGTAATCCTAGTTTTTCTCAGCACAAAAACTGACTGTAGTCCAAGATTCCTTCTCAGCAGTAGCAGCACTAAGATCTAGTTTTTTCTTTCTTAACTGCATGCTGCAGTGGCCAGAGCTGTAAGTAACCTCCGAAATATGGAAGACTGGTAATTTATAAACTAATTGCCTGTTCTGACTTGCAAATTCCTATGCTGAAATTGCTCTATAGGAAGCATTTATACAAGTTTTACAGTAATGAGATGATCAGAATGAGAGCCAAGGGAGAAGTTTCAGGAGACAGAACTCCGAGTGCCCTCCCCTTTTTAAGAAAAATGACTTCTCTAATTGCTGAGAGATGAAAGGGGTGAAAGTGGTGGCTCATCCATATGTTTTCCCAGAGACAGGAATGGTAGCGCTGTATTTGAAGTATATGAGATGGGCTTTCTGTGTGGCAACGTGCCTCTTAATATCATCAAAAGCAGAGGAAAATCTGTGTTAGAAAAATCATCTTTGTGCATCCTTTTGTCCAGTGCTGGGTGCCAATACACGTGGATAAAGGGTAAAGGAGAGGAGGAAGAAAATACAGCAGAGAGTATTGACCACTTGGTGACGTGACCTGGGCCACGGGCACCACATGCTAATGGGACTTGTACTCCTCTCAGTATCTCTGGTAAATTTTCCCTACAGCATTTTTATATAATTACTGAGGCAAAGATCCCTGTATTTGAATATCCATTTTGTGAAGAACATGTTTACAAATTGTTCTAAAAGTTGTTATGGGAATTAATCTCACGATACATTTTCTTACTCATGCAATTACAGAAAACATTTCTCTGAAGCCTGAGAGCAGACCAAGCCTGGAAAATTAAAAAAAAATTAAGAAGTGTCTTTCAGAGTTTGAAGACTCAAGTACTTTTAAAGGCAACTGCTGTCAATGCTGCTTTTGTGTTGACAGAATCCTTTTAAAAGGTTTTGTGGTGCGAAAAGCTCCTTTTAGTGGGTTTTCATAATGCAGTGGGAAAGAACAAGAAAATGTTTTTCTCACCACGGCCATGCCATGGAGCTCACTTAGAACATTGTGTACCCCAACCAGGAGGCGATTTTCCGTGCGGCTCGCACCCGGGCAGAGCCAGCGGGATCGGCACTCGTGCCTGCCCCCGCTCACCTTGGAGACCCCGTTTGCTTCTTCCAAGTGCTCCTCGGGATGAGTCAGGCCTCTTGATGTGCCTGAAGGAGATACTCGGGGTGAGGGCTCGCACCGCCCGAAAGCGATGGATTGACGTCCCCATGGCTCGCAGGAGGCAACGTGCTTTTATTCTAGGAGCGTGTCTACGGAGCAGAAGGAGTGGTGGCACCCCCCTGTGCCAGCCACAAGGTGGCACGAAGGCTTTGCGCTTCCTCAGCGAAATGTCTGCCATAAAAGTAGCATCTGGCCACGCACTCCCACTGTGTGCTCGTGTCCCCCGGTCTGCAGAGCTGTTTATGGGGACTCTTAAGGATCATTGTGTGCAAAAGCCAGGGCTGCGATGTCCTTGGGGCTGCTATTTCTCAGTCTGGTTAAATAAAGCCCAGCCTGGGCCTACGTCTACTGCTGCACAAATCCTCCTTTCCTGTTGTCGCTCAGGTCCCCTACGGGAGGGCCACCACTTTCTGTCTTATAGGGTCAGAAGACACCTCACAAACACATAAAATGTCAAACCCATGGCCAAGTTTGCCAGAGCCCCAGCACCTGCTGGTGGCAGCGTACCCTGTGCCCACAGCCCTCAGGTGGCTGCAACAGGTCTCAGGCAGTGAGGGCATAAGAGCAGCAACAAGCAGCAGATACTCCCCTTTCAGCTCTTCTAATATCTCTTCTAATATCACTGCTCTCAGCCTAATCTGTAACAGATCCGGCAGCCAGCAAAATGAGAAAATCACTGACACAGGAGGCTGCAACTGGCTTCTGCACCGACACCTCGCTGACGCTGCAGTGGGAGTAGAATCGGGTTTTTCTCCCCCAAATGAGCCCCTCCTTGGGATTTATTCGTGATACCTGTGTTGTGTATGATGCATTTGTGACATTTAGCATGTTGTGGATGGTTGGGGGTGGACAGGACAAGATAGTAAAGGACAGGATGATTGAATGCTTCTTGTGCTGCTGCAGCGCAAAACTGAGTGACGAGGGTGTGATAGAAAGAGAGGGAATCTGGGGCTGGGTTATGAAAGAGTGTGTCGCAGGGCTTCTTTGAAATACATCTGTATGAACTTTACTGTTCTCTGGGCAATACTGCTTCTGTCACAGCCAGGGTTTTCCTTATGCTTTCAGGTGCTTTGTAGAAATGATGCTTAGCAGTTTCCATTGGAGGTACAGCTTCTGCAGGTCCCCTCAGGAAAGTTTTCCTTTTGCCCCTGCCTTAACATTTCACTTAGAAGACAATCTGAAGGTGTAAGATAATGTGAAATAAAATGTTTCTACACCTGGTATTATGTAGGTGCCATTAACAGCCCGGTCCAGAGAAAGTCAAGCATTCGACACTCCCGTTCATTGTATTTATGTGTTTAAGACTTGCTGTATTTCTAACCAGGACCCCAGGCCATCTGAGGATATTAGTGACATGTAATAGTCACTGGGAATTGCAGGTATGCGGTGCTCAGCAAGAGTAAGGCAGTAGCTGTAAGTTAAAGCAACAGTAAGGGCTTTGCTCACAGGTCTCCGTGGAATTAAAGAGCTGTGCCCAACCTCAGCTCACTTTGCTTCTTCCACAAAAACGTCTGGAAAGAGAAACCCACAACCCCCTCTCCTTTTCTCTGTTTCTTACTAGTTCAGAAAAATTGAGTTTAATATGTCTGTGGCCTTTTAGTTTTACATCGCCTAACTGGAGCAGAGAAGCTATTTTCTTCTTCAAGATGAGCTTTCCTTCCATTGTGGGCTCATTTAGGCTTAGGACTAATGTAGCACAGCACAGAATACCACAAGGATTTCACGTTTTGCAGTGCTGTTCCCTGTTAGCCATTCCTAAATTTTACATCCATGAATCATGCATTCTGAGGTGGTTTGTCTTCCATGATTTAGTATCTATAGAATTAGGGAGGAATGATCCTGAGAAAGTATTTACAATAGGTTTAACTTCTGTAAACCAAATGCAGACTTTGAAAACAAGAGGAATCACTGGGCATTACCCTTCTCTTCACATCCTCATAGCAAGTTCATGCTTTTAGTCTGGGGATCAATGCTTGGGAACTTCTGTCATCTGTCTAACGCATCCCACTGACTGTGCTGACATTACCTGGTGCTGTGTTCCAGAACAGCAGTGCACGCTGTTGTTCATTAAGAAAAAATATGAGGAAAACTCGTGATTCAGCTCTCCCTGCTGCATCTTCTTCCCCCAGGAAAATCAAGGACGGACACCAACTATATCGAGTGTAATGACTAACAGTATTGTTCACTAATCAACACTGGAAGATGCTCTGTTGCAAAGTCTGCTTTGATTACCTTGTTCTCTGAGGATGAGTAATGTGGTTTTAATTATTTTTAGTTTAGTTCAAGGTTATTAATCATCTTCAAACTAACAACAACTACAGGAATTCACTAGTGTTTCATGTCATTCACTGTACATTTTGTTTTTTGAAGGCACAGTTTTCTTCGCCGTTTAAGTGATGTTGATTTCCGCATGCACTGGTGGAGACCATCACCCAATGACTGCTACTTTGGGGACGGGGACAGGACTTTCTTTAACTAAAATCACTCTTTACAGGGACTGATTACTAGACTCCCCATAATCCATGAGAGAACGCATCAGCAGATATTTATAGATTAATGGCATTGAGTGTTTGGAGGCAAGTGAGATATAACTCTTGAGTAGTAAACCTCCAGTGCTGGCAAAAAAATGGATTCAGATATGCAAAAGTGATTGTCTGACCTCACTAAAGTCATTAGGATCTTTGCTTTTGACACCAATGGGGTCAGGTATTTATTTTAGAGCTATTATGGTTTTTAGCTATGTGCTCCCAAGGAAGTACACTGAATTTGCTGTATTTCATACTGTACTGGATAATTAGATGGAATATATTAATAAGTATATTACTTATAAGAACATTGTGAGATTAGTAGTAATGCTTTTGAATTAAAGTCATTACATAAGTGTAGCATATTTTATAATAACGAAGAAGCCACAGAATAAGTATGGGCATCTTATCAGCAGAATAAGAATGGGCATATCATCAGACCATATATATTCAAAACAGAGAGGTAAATGCAACATAGAAAGGTGTCTCCCTCTGGAGTGATTATTAACAAAAAAATAAATAAAAAAACAAACCAAAACCACCAAAACAAACAGAAAGACAAGCTCTCAAAGCCAAACCACCTTTAATTGTCAGCATCAGGTAATAAGACAATGTTATTTCCATGCTTCATTGCTCATACTTTTTGTCTATCGTGTTTCAGAGCAAATTCTTGTCACCCCCACATTTTAAATCAGAGAAGCTAATTAAACATCTTTATCCAATGGTAAAACATTAATTTCAGACAGATTAAAAAAAAGAAAAAAGAATACATTTTAGAACAATCTCAAGTGTAGCTGATACTTAGAAGAAAACTTTTTGTTGTTGAATGAAATATGTCAGAGAATTATTCCAAGTTATATGTAATTAATTACTTTTTCTGAAAACCCATATGCAAAGTCAATAATATACTTGCATTCAGTAGCAAGAAAGCCCCAGGAAAGGGAATTTCATGACAGTGAAAACACTGTATTAAAGTTTCAGGATTTTAAACATATACAGAGTATCATAATTTATTATTTTGTTGTTACTGTTGAAAAATCAAGTTACCTCTGGAGATTGAACACAATATTAGGGGTCAAAAGAGAAGGTTCAGTCTTGCATGTCCAAGCAACTTCTGGTTGTGTTGAGCTCCGTGAAGTCCTAGGAAATTCAAAGCAGACCGAAGGTAGAAGTTTTTACACAGTGAGCTTGATAGACACGTACCTGGAGTTATGAAATCACACAGGAGTTTCTGCAGACAATCTTCATTCCTAATGAGAAAGGTCAATAAATCTACTGCAGGTCTGTCTGAAATCAGGGAGAGTCTTTCCCGTGGCATTACAGGGGTCAGAGACCGATTTTTGACATTACAAGAGGCCATTACGAACATCCAGTCTGACCTTTGCATAAAGCAGGGCAAAGAATTTGGCTGAATAGCTTGGGATCTTTTAGAAAGACAGAAAGCCTGACTTTAAAGATTTTCAAGTAATGGAGATTGTAATCCAATTCTAAGTGATTAATTGCCTCAGCTGTTACAGAAATACATTTTATTAGAGGATAGAGATGGATCAGGCCATAAGGCCACACAGAGGAAATTCTTTGTGCTATCTTTAAATATAACAACTAAGAATCGCCTGTTTCTCTTTAGGCTATGTAGACCCAAGTACTTTATTAAAGTTAAATGAATAAAAAAATGTTTAAAAACAGCGATGCTGCCTTATAATCACAGGCTTTGGCCCTCAAGCATACGCCAGTGGGTCACGTCTGCAGTTAGATATTCATTCCATGCTGTGTGATTATGGCATGTTTCAGAGCCTGGGAAGCCCAGAACCTGGCAGTTAAAGGCAATCGGGTGTTAAAATAGCCCCTGGTCTCACGCAGACAGAGAAGTGGCTGTTGGGGAGGGCTGCTGGTGGAGAAACCAAACCCCCGGCCTCACTGGGGACAGCTGCCATGCAAATGTCTGGGTGCTCTCCGTGAGCCCAGTGACGACAGCAGCCAAAAAGGATGTGCTGGCTCCTGGTCCCAGTGTCTGCTGTCCCATCCACTCCCAGCACAGAGGTCACCCAACCCAGCTCTCACCCCAACACCCTGAATCTCTCTGGAGCTGTGCGTCTGGCTGAGCAGGGGCCTGCCTGTGCCACGAGGCACAAAGCGGGGACCTAATGCCAGGAGGTGTAACGATAGGACAAGGGGAAACGGTTTTAAATTGGAAGAAAAAAGATTCAGATTAGATCTCAGGAAGAAATTTTTTACTATGAGGGTGGTGAGACACTGGAACAGGTTGTCCAGGGAAGTCATGGATGCCCCATCTCTGGAAGTGTTCAAGGCCAGGCTGGATGGGGCTTTGAGCAACCTGCTCTAGTGGGAGGTGTCCCTGCCCATGGCAGGGGGGTTGGAACTAGATGATCTTTGAGGTCCCTTCCAACCCAAACCATTCTATGATTCTATGATTCTATGAAATAAACTGCATGAAGGGCTCCCATGCTCAGGGCAATTTTTGGCTGGGGGCAGCAGGGACTGCAGCCCCGCAAGGCAGATGCTGCACTGCAGGGTGCACGAGCCACCGAGGACAGACTTCTAAGCCCAACCAAATGTCTTTTCTCTTTTCCTTAATGAGACAGACCTCGTTATTCTCTCGTCACAATATGCGGCGGTTCTGATTGATATTTACCGGGCTCTGCGTGACCCGTCTCGGTTGTCTTTAGCGTGGTTAATTGGAATTATTGAGCCGTGCCTGGCTCCGGCAGGCTGGGATTCACCCCTGTTGGGACAGTCCTCACCTGCCCACCCTGGCCTGCCTCTGCGCAGCCTTGCTCCCCTCAGACTGAATTAAACGGCGCTGTCAGGAGCCAGGGACCCTTCAGCAGTTTTCCAGCACAAGCAATACCAAATTAGTGTTTGGTAATAGGCTGCACACTGTTTTGTAATAAGAAAATATGGATGATTCTATTTATTCCCTCTCGCTCCTGTGATGATAAGAAATGTTCTAATTCATTATTAATTTGTTCCAACTATTTCTGGTAAATCTAAACTATGAATAACTTTAGCTATGCCATTAGCAATACCTCAAAACTACAGATGGATTTCAGTTTCTGGACATAGTCACGTGGCAATCCCACTGTTTCTACAAGGTGTTCCCAAAATTCTGTCACATTTGGGTACAAAACCAGTACTTGCTGTTCACACTGGATAACAGCTTCATCTAAACCAACCTGGAACACAAAGATGTTCTGGCCATTATTTGTCCAGCATAAATTATTGTAGCTTGGGGGCATCCCATGAAACTTTGTATATTCAATCTGCTTAAGGATTTACCCACCCCTGAACACTGGACCAAATGGAAATGAGAGTGGCAATAGACCTAGACCTGCTGCCACTGTTGAAGGCTTTTATTCTGCTCTGTGGACTAGCAAGATCTTTAGTGGCATTTTGCAGGTTGCTGGCTTTAGTGAAGAGTAGGCCTTTGGAATATTAAATCTTCAAAAGGTGATTTTTTTTTGTTGTTTGCCTTTCATAATTTATTTCTCTTTTTTGTATATAAATGATTGATCAAAGACCCATTGTCAGAAAGCATCGAGAAAATTTTTTTTTCTTCTCTTGTAGAATATGAATTTATTTGGATGAAAGATGGGAGATTTTAACTGAAAAAGAGTACATTTAGATTAGATATTAGGAAGAAATTCTTTACTGTGAGGGTGGTGAGACACTGGAACAAGTTGTCCAGGGAAGTTGTGGATGCCCCATCCCTGGAAGTGTTCAAATGCCCTGAATGGGGCTTTGAGCAACCTGCTCTAGTGGGAGGTGTCCCTGCCCATGGGGACAGGGAGGGTGGAACTAGATGATCTTTAAGGTGCCTTCCAACTCAAACCATTCTATGACTCTATGATTCTATGATATGTGTCTATTTGTCATCCAAGGAAATGATCTGTCACATGTATAGTGTAGTGATGCCTTCCTGTGGAACCAAGTCCACTGTATGATCTTTCATTCAACTAGAAAGTGCTTTTCTTGCCTTTCTTTTTGGATGGGAATGACTCTTCCTTTACCTCTGTGTTGTCGTAGCCATCCATCTTCATTTACTGAAAAGGAGGAGGAGGAGGAGGACACCCACCACTTAAGATTGAATACTAAACTTCTGTGTGGGCAGTCCTGCAAGACACTGGAAACCCTCTGGCTTTATGAGCTCTAAGCAGGGGAAGAGTGGGATGACTGCACTCCTGGTGCTCCCACGCAGATGCCCTGGGAAATACTGTTCTGGCTCCTCACTTCAGAAAAGAAAAGGAAAAAAATCCTAGCTCTTTTCCTCAGGTGGCATATACTTAAGAATGTTTTTTTAGCTGTTTGCTTGATAATTAAGATGATAAAAAGCAGCAAGGAATTATCTGGAAGATCCTCAAAAGGACTTTACCACTGCTTGGTGGTCACCTAAGAAGAGGCTGGCAAAGGTCCCAGCCACCAGGCAAGGCTTGCCTCTCTCCTGTCTTGTGACAGTTGCAATCCTAGTGCTGTCCCTGGTTGTTGCTCTCCATTTTTTTCATAGTTCGTACCTCCTGCCCAGAACATCCCTGAGTGTGGGATGGATTATAGCTTTCCTTCTTTGGTCTGCAACAGACATGAGGAAGTGCACAGAGGTATAAGTTTTCCACAGTGTGCCTAAACATACCACTGCTTTTACTTAAAGAAGAAAGCACAAGATTTAATAAAAGAAAAAAAAACCTTTGCAAATAAAATGCTTCAGTGCTCTCTGTCCCTGAGTCAATCGCAATCTATTCTCCTGGAGGAAAAAGGGACTTTCTCACCTCCACCGCAGGTGCCACGTCCCAGCTGGAAGTGCTGAAATGTCCATCCACCAAGCCCTAGCTTCCCCTGCTTGAGCTTTAATAACTTCTCTTCTTCTGCCAGGAGATCTCTAATTAGCCATTACCAGATGACCACAGCTACACCTGAGTGGCTTTACAGAGGAGTTAATCTCCCCTCTGACAAGCCCATCCTTCCTAGGAAACAGCTCTCAGGGAGGAGGGGGCTGGAAAGTCAAGGAAAGATGAAGGCTGGTGTTACGTTCATAAAGCTGATGTAGACATGTACTCATTGGCAGACCGGTCTGGTTCCCCAAGCCCTGTAAGAAAGGAGGCCTGGGGAGAGATAATAACAAAATAGGTGACAAATCCATAGTGTGTGTATGTATGTGTGTGAGAGAGAGACAGCTGGGCTGGCAGGATTGTTCGCTTTTGAGAAACAGGAATTAATCCTTTTCTATATTGGCAGAAATGCAAGTGCCCTTTCATGATAAAATTACGTATTCCAGGCCAGTCAGTCTTCCAGGTTCCTTTTAAAATACTCAGCTAAGGTTGAATGTACTGAGAAAATATGAATATAGTAGCTGGACATCCGACAAGTGTGCATGAGGTATTACCCAGCTCTATGGACCAATAAAGTTCCTGACAGTTTGACAGATTACTAGTGGAAATATGCATAATTATGGAAAAAAAAAAAAAGAGAGGTTTTCTGAAGAGTGGAAAAGATCCCCATTATGGTAGATAATGGCTTCTTGAATTAAACCTATGGCAGTGGGTTTTAGAGCAGTCAGTCCCAGTCAGGCTTAACAAAGCTCAGAGGATGCAAGCTCCCCTAGAAATATCTGTAGAATTATAATGCTCTAGTTAATAAAATAGATATTTAAAATAGCATAGTCAGGTAAATTAAAAGGTCTAATTTAAGCTGATAGGAGAAAGATGAAGGAAATTCTGCCAGTGAAAAACCTACTTTTCTTCAGATGCTGCCTTAGGAGTTTGCCTTAGAGGCAAGTGTTGTAAACCTTAAATCCCTCTCAGCCCTGAAATTACAGAGTAATCTAGAAATTTACATTTATCTAGAAATACAGAGAATCTAGAAATTTACTTATAAATCTGGAGACCGGATTTAAACCTTTCCTTATTCAGCCTGAACCGCAAGGATGTCAGGCGGATATTCACGTCGCACACACACACACACGCACGCACCCGTGAAGCAGAGCGAGATGCTCTATGAGACTTTTATTGGCATGAATCATGGGGAGTTACTCACCCTAAGTGAGAGCCTAGAAGCTGTTTGTGCAAACCGTCCTGCCATCGCTCCTGCGTGTGCAGTGGCACCGGGGTGGCATGGGGCCACTTACGTGGGGTCTGGAGCTTCAGGTCTTCTTTTTTTTTTTTTTAATTTTTTTTTTTCGGGAATCTGTGTCTCTGTGCTGCTGGTGCCCAGTATTTCAGGCATCCTGATACTTTCGGCGAGGATCTGGTGGGGGAGTGGGGAAGGGTGGAGAGGAAATGAGACGGCGTAACTAAAAAAGTAGCTGAAAGTAGCTTTTAAATTTTTTTTTATTTTTTTCAATTATGATTTTTTTCCTGTTCTTTAGGTGGCGCCCTCCGCTCACGGACGATCCGCGCTGGCACGGTGCCCGCCGCT